CAAATCCCAGACTTTTCTCCTGAATTACCCGCCTCTGGCGCTGCTGCTGCCGGGATCCTCCCGCACCAGGATGCTCGGGAAAGTTTCCTTGCAGTCATACCCCCTTCCCCGCCTTGGCAGGGAGTGCGTTTCAAAACCTCTGCCTGATTTTTAATATTCCCCCCCACACCCCTTAAACCTTTAGGAAAGGAAAAAAACCAAAAAAACCAAACAAACCAGCAAGTCCTGAGGGATTTATGTTACAGTGGGAATAGCTCAGCCAGTGAGCATCGCCTTGCCGTGCTGCTTAAATGTTACCGCTCTGCAGGAGAGATTTATGTGCCCATCAGCAGAATATTTCCCGGGTTTAAGAGCACTCGATATTCCCTCTGCTGACGGGGATGGGAGATGGTGAGACGCAGGGCGAGGGCAGCGGAGTTGTTTAGCTCACAGGCACTGTCACGGATGGCAGTAAAACGGGGTCTGGGCAGCAGAAGTGACACAGGCTGGACCGGGTGGCATTCCTGTACTCAGAGGAAGGTGAGGGGATACACATCAAACCCTTTGCATCCAGCACCAAATAAATCAATGCAAGTAACGTGGGCTACCTTAATGGGCGATTGCAACAAGCTAGAGGCCGGCCGTGGTAAATAGAGGAGACTCCCACCACCCTTGAATTCCACCATCATTCCACACCCCCAGCCCAGGGATACTTCTCACACGGGGCTGGATGACTCAGAAAACCCAGAGGAATAATGGGCAAATTTTTGCTTTGCCGTAGTTGGTCCTTTTGCTTTTTGTATTTACGGGAGGTGTGGAAATACCTCCCGAGCCCCGCGGCCCATTCCTGAGAGAATGCTCCCCAACATCTCTCTTCCCTGTATTTAGATGTCCAGGCTCCCTGCTTGCCCGTGTCTGGCTTCGCTGCCAAGGATTGCCTCCATCTCCCCTGGAGCTGCGCGCATTTGGGACTCCCTTTTGGCCGGGAGTTAATATCCCAATTTCCCATGCCGGCGGCGGCAGACGGACATCCAGGGAGGTGGCTCTGGCAGAAGGGACACCTTTAGGGATGCATGTCCAGCCTTCCTTCTCAGCCTCCTGGGCTTAACCTGCCCCTCTCCTCCGCGTGTCCCCGGGGCAGGTGCCGGGGGAAGGCGACAAGGCGGAGGTCGGGGGGGATCACGCCGCCCTCCCCAGCGGCAGGAGGGGCTGTCCCGGCTGCGGGACCCCCTCCAGCCTCTCCCCATCCTCGGCAGCCGAGGGCAGCTGGTTCTGTAGGGGCAGGAGCAAGCAGCCCCCTGCAGGGAGCGGAGGCTTCACCGCAAAGGGTTAACGCGGGGCTGCAGGGTGCTCCAGGCAGAGTCCTGGGAGCGCCTCCGAGATGCACCAGCCAATCCCAGAGACAGCAGCGTGAACTAGATGTAGCATGCTGTAAGGAGGGAGGTGAAGAAAATAGGGTGTAAATTGTCACCGCGCATCGCCAGGCGGACCTGCTTTTTTGGGCTACGATTTCTTAGAGACCGTCATGCATTTAAAAAGGTAAGGGCTTTGTCACCGGCAGTCTATATTGTGATTCACTGCCGGATTCAAGTGCATTTTCTGCGTAGCTTTCATTTAGTGATAAATTGTGAGGCTCAGAGTGGGAAGCAAGTGGAATGTGGCATGATTTACTGTTCGGGAGTCGTTTTGAAAGACTACGTCAGCTTCAAGTTGTAATGATTTCATGTAGAGATTAAGCAAGTGAATGCATGTGAAGTAAAGTGAATTCATGACTGGCAGAAAAATGTAATGTGTGTGATAAGAGGAGGATGTTCTGTTGTAGCAGCAAATCAGTTATGGATCCATATGAAATGAAGGCTAGTGTGAGATAGACTTGATTTTGAGAAAATGTAGAGAGTAATTCAGAGGCATGCATCTGACAAGCAAGTCTGTCAGAAAAAAAAAACCCCAAAATAACTTCCTTCCTTGAAAAAAACCCATGTTTATTAAATACAACATCACAAAAGAATGCTATAAAAAGAAGTGAAGTCAGAACCGTACAGAGTCTGTATGTTCAGAGATGAGTGACTCTGACACATTAAGTGTACAGAGATAAAGCCAGAGTGGCCCTGCTTGCATTTACAGGATATAAGAAATAACTTCAGAGGAGCAATCCGTTTAGATATCAGACTTCACAGACTGCTGTCATTGCTCAGCTCCATCCCTACGAGGAGTTACTCATTTTAAATAGGTGCTCTATCAGCTTTACCACAAGACCAGCTTTGGGAATAGAAACATTTGACTGGATCTCTTCCTCTCTGTATCTAAGCATAGCAACAGACCCTCGGTCTCAGATGCTGTTGCAGTGCTAATCAGCAGAGTTCCATCCAGAAACTACCTACAAATTCTTGCCTCCAACCATTTTTCTCTCTAAGACGTGTATAATTTAGGCAGGGGAGGAATTAGAATAAAGATCTGTGATATTTTCAGTAAGCTGATCCACCTCCAGTGAGAGCAAACCTCCCCAACAGATGCTGAGTTCACTGGAGTTGTGTTTGGGGTGTTTGTTCATGAAATGCTGAAACCCTGTGAGTGCAAACGTTAACTAAGAAACATGAAAACAAGCAGCTGAATGTTTCTACAGAGCTCAGTGCAAAAGGCAGCATTTGTTCACCAATCCAACAAAACAACTTGAGAATCTTCAAGAGAATGTAATCATCCCGTCTTATCCTCTCCTATTTTTTCTACTGTTCTCTGAATGCCTTTGTGAAGAATTAATTACAGAAGTCAATTCATTACTTACACCAACGTATCCAAAAATTTACTTTTTTAGTCACACAGGTTGCGGTGACTTTTCACTCCTCTCAGTCCCAGACAATGATTTATGGGACTGAAATATTTTTACTTCATTTGCATTAATTCAAAATAATATCTGTTTGTGATCAGTCTAAGTAATTTTTTGCTTGAGATGCAACACCCATTGAAAACAAAAAGAAGGTCTTTTTACCAGCAAGCTTGCTTCTTCAGCAGTTTTTGAAAATCTAAATGGAAAATTGGCCGATCAAACTACTTAGCTAAGTTTTCCTTAGAAGAAAAAGAGTGGTGGAAGGTATTGGGTGATAGTTTCTGGAAACTCGATTTTCTAGCTCTCAGGCATACCTAATGCAGCTCTTTCTTAATCCTCCCAAAACTTCACCTCTCTTCAAAACCAGAAGCAGACATTTTTTTTCTTACTCTTCTGAAACACTAGTAACCTCCTATGGGAGCAAAATCATCAGAAATACACTTTGACAAACAGAGCCCAAGCACTCTTTGAGAAAGGTTCCACTGAAACCACTGTCCTGTTAGAGCTGCAGGTAGAAACTACAGCCAGTCATTTCATGGGGAAGTTATCTAATTTCTTCTTGATCTCATCCTATCTCATCATAAGAGAACATTTTTTAAGAATAAATTTGCAACTACCTTCTCTTCATATCATTGTTTTCCTTTTGCTCAATATATGCGTGTTCAGCGAGGGCCTAATCTTGGACAATTAAAGGAGATCAGAACATCCCTATTAACTTCAATGAAAGCAAGATCAATTTCCAAAACAATATTTTGGAACCAAAATGAACTTCAGGTTTAGAAAGTAAAAAAAGGGAGCATCATGAAGATACATGCTGCGCACTGAGCAGTGGGAGGCTTTGCAAATCTTGAGTCAGATATTATTAAAATACTGAAAAACTGAAGAATTTGTGACCTGATCTTACATTGGCCTAGGCCTCAGTTCTTTTTCACCATTGATAAATCAACATTTTTCTGTATGAAGTTGAGGAACATTGAGAGAGCTCCTTGTGACTCAAGCCATCACCCTGCTGAAAACTGGAGTGTGAATAAATTTGTTCTTCTAGCTTTGAAGTTACTAATTTATATGTACCACAGTTTGTGTGCATACACAAATATAGTTTATATATACATATGCATACATAGATATAAATATGCATGCTATGCACTAGACATCCCTCCACACCCATGTTCTGTATAATCACTTTTTTGCCCTGGCTCATACCATGGGAATGATTATTTAGCCCAGTCTGTTTCCCATCTCCCCCTGAAAAGTCTTCACCTGCTCCGTGTGCCACAAAATAATGCACTGAGGAGAGGGAGGAAGGACACTCTGCCACACCAGAGCTTTTCAGCTTTAACTAATGAGCCTCTCACAAAGGCCACAGATTTTGTTCCACCTTCAGAAGAAGATTGACCAAGCAATATATATTGTTAGCTAAATTAACACCATTAAACTGCAGTGGTTTCTCTTATAATGAGGTGAGATCGTAAGGCTGGAGTGACATACACCTTTATTGTAACAGTTACATTAATGGGGAAAAATTCAGCTCATTTGCAGTAACACCTTCACTGCCACATCCACCAGCACTTGATTAATGAGAAAAGCAATTTGTAAGGCACTTATTATACATTGGCAAGTGAAGGATGTAAATCTGGGGAATCAGAGCACTGCTCTATACCCTTAATCCCATATTATTCATGACTACTGAGAATTCTGTAGGGCTAATTTAGCTCCTTCAATACTTATAAATCTACTGGAAATAACAAAGACACCTGGTTAGCTGAACATGGATGACCACGCTGAAGTCAAATGGGATTATTAAAATCCATTACAAATGTTACTTCTTAGTATTTTCTTTTTTAATTTGTTTTCTTTATTTGAAATCTGTTTCTAAGGAAGCTTACCATCACTGGTGAAAAACACTGCTAAATGCTGAAAAACAGCATCATGGATGGAGGTGGTAGCCCAAGTGTATATTTTT